TCTTGAGGACTCCCTTACTTTTGTCTGTGGTGTATAGTGAACGGGTGGAAATCTTCTATCCATCTGAATAAAGGACTCAGATATGCTTTCATAAGGATGTGTCTTAGTTGCTATCTCATTGCAAACGGACACACGAAGTCCAGAGGTGACAGAATTCTTGGTGGCGATAGAGCCGTTATGTATCTCTCGCATTTGCTCCGGTAAAGTTATCGCATGACTGAGGTTGTTGGGAGACGATAGGTTGGATGGTGAATACAGCAACTGGTGCTGAGGCTCCTTCATCATTTTTGCGCGTCTATTCTGTCGCTGAATGCTGAAGATGAGCACAAATGAGAGGACAAACAGGCAGATGACCGGCAAGAGTTTGCAGAAAATGGCCGTATTCCAATGCATCCATCTTTCCAGACTGCCATTTTCCACATAGTTTATCCGATAGCCGCGTTGCGTATTCTCAATCCGATGAACCACAACACAAGAGATGTTCAAGACCCCACTGGCCGCCAGCACGAGCCAGATTGCCAGACATGCTCGTTGCTGGCTGCACAGTTGCTTGGCGGCGAGGAGGTAGCGAACGTACAGTACTCGAAAGACGGCAAGAACAATTATTACTCCACTCGAGGCGACATGAATGAAGTTGGAGAAGCTGACATAAAGCAGAATGAAAGTGGCCCAAGCATAGTATGACGTGAAGCCTTCGTGGATATGCAGCCAGGCGGCGAATGGCATGTAAAAAGCCATTGTCAGACCATCCATTATGGCCAGTGCAGTGAGCAGTAGGTTGGTTGGACAGTGCATTGAGCGCTGGTTGAGCACGATCACGTTGAGCAGGTTAGAAAGCACACCGAGCGGGCATAAGATAAATATCACATAAACGTGAATCTTGGAGTAGCGAATTTTGAAGGCCTCTATCAACGGATATGTCAGGCAGCTGGAACCGTTGTCTAGAATGGAAGCAGAAATCAAAGAGGTGGCCAGTGTTGCATTGTCCAAGAAGTTGTCGGGCAACATGGCAATTCACATGTAGTTCTCTATAACAAAATGAGTAAGCAATTGTACAAAATTTGCCCAATAAAATTTAAACGAATAAAAATGTACATGTT